TACATAGATAAATAAAAATGCCCCATCATATGAATAACAAAAAATCAAAATGCCACATCATATGAATAACAAAATTACGTTATTACCCTCACCCTCTCGATCCATCTTCTTTCCCTTTTTCTTTTCTCTTTCTTCCTCTTTCCTACTGCAACAACCGAACCCAGATCTATTAGGCTTCATTGAACCCAAATCTAGTACAATGTAAACTCAGCCAAAATTGGGAAGAAATCGTTCCAAAGTTCTAGAAAATCAAAATAAAGAAAATAGATAAAAAATTTCAGAATGGTTTTTTAAATTTAATGTTGGCGATTGTCCTAGAAAATTCAAATCGAATTCGTTCCAGTTAAATAAAATGCTTAAAACAAAGGAAAAATTGATATATGAGGAGATCTAATTCTTCCCCTGATTGCTTAAATTCAAAAATTCTTTAAAAAATACAAAAAGGGAGGAGATCATGGAGAGATCGACGAATTGAACTGCTATGATCCCAACACTGAAAGAATTAAACAACATGTTAAATCAGAAACCCAAAATTGCAGACAAAAACCTTACAAAATTAAAACAAACTACAAGGAAGAAGGATCAATGAGAAAACAGAAACCCAGAAAAGCTCGAAATAATGAACAAAATCAACAAGATAACACATGGGGAACAAAACAAACTAATACATGTTTGGTTGAAGGAGCAGCACTGAAAATCGTAAAAAGGGTTTGAGGGAGAAGGAAGAACAAACCTGGGAGTGCTCAACTTTATAACGAGCTTCTCAAATTCCTCATAAGAACTGCACAACTCAATCTCTGTTTTTGCCGTCGGTTCTTCTTCTTCTCCCTCCCTTCCTTCCATCTCTTAAACAACTTTCCTCCTCTGATTCAAGCAAAGCCAAATGCCATAATACCCAGAAAGAAACCAAGGGTTCGATGGAACCCAGCAGATTTGAACCATCGAACCCAGTTGCAGCAGGAAAGAGGAAGAAAGAGAAAGAAGGGGAAGAAGATGGATCGAAAGGGAGAGGGTAATAATGTAACTTTGTTGCTTTTTATTTCTTTTTATTAAAAATATAACTACTCACATGATGTGGCAATTTTAGTTATCTGTGTAATCCAATTACAAAACATATCGTATTTCACGTGCCGTGATTAATTCAGTGGTTATTTGCTGTACAGTTTGTGGTATGTATTTTTAATTTTTGAGTTTAATACTCTCGTTAACACCTATGATATATTAATTTTTAATTATTATTTTTATCCAAAAGAAAAAAAAAAAACAGTCAACTGGGCCTGTGGCCCAATTGGTTGGCCCCAAACTTTAGGGTTTGGGTGAGGCGAAGGTCAGGTTTCGAACTCTGCTACCGTCGTGAATTCCACCAACTTGTGACCTAATGGTCGCACGCCTCAAATGAGGAGAACATTCACTTTCCTGGAAAAATTCCAGCTGTTAACAAACTAACTCTACTAACTTCCTAACCATCTACCTGGTCAAAAAAAA